GCTCAGGCCAGCGGTTTACTGACCAAAATCAACGGTTTTGACAAAATTTTCGATTTTGGGGAAAACAGAAACCAATCACCTAACCGGTTCCCAATTTTTCTGATCCGGTCCGATTAAACCATGGTAAATATGATGTTATAGGCAAAATGATTCAACCTAAAGAGTTAAGCCCATGAACAATTACCTAAGAAGGAAGCCTACTTATTTTTTAATCGGGTTGTAGAAGACTGATTATGATTGAAGGGAGAACTCTTTGTTGCAATTGGGATGAGGTCTGATTCATACACAATATTAATTATTTATATCCTAAAAACTCCAGTGTGAACTTATTTTATTGCTAGTCCTAACTTTCGAGCCTGGACAAAAGTGGAGGGTTGCATTAAATTGGCAGCCAGCATTGAACTTTGGTCAAATCCTTATGATAATGGATACTAAATTGTCCTTTACAATTGTATGGACTAAAAAGACTGGGAGCGAACCTAAAAGGACATGAATTGAAACAGTTAAAAATTATTTGAACACTCATAATTTAATAATTGATATTAGACTAATCAGAATGGAATGGCAAAATATGATTTATATAGCTGACCACGTATAAGTGGGATAAAGCTTAGATGATGATGATGACCTTACCAAATGAAAACTCTTTAATGTATAGAATACAAAATAATGTTGATTCACCTAATTAAATGAAAACGTTGATCCATTATTATATGAAAAGCTATACAGACGCAGAACTTGCCCCCTAGTGGATTGGAACTTGGGGCATCTGGGTAATCCAAATTCGGGTAAAAAAATGAACCGGATTAGATCAAAATGGGAAAATCTATGATGCTGCAAAGACATCATACCAGAACGGCTTTGACCAATCACAATCCAATGTAATTTTTGGTGAAAATTAGGGGTGCAACTAGGGCGGGTTCAACTCGAATCTGAATCGGTCAAATCCAGAATTTTACATGAGTTGGGCTTGGATTTTCAGTCCTCAAGTTGGGTTTGGGCTCAAGAAGTCGGATTTTGGGCCGAGCTTGGTCCTAGCCCTTTGGTAGCCCGAACTCTACCCAAGCCCAACCGAATTATATACATTTATACATACATACATACATACATACATACATACATACATACATACATACATACATACATAGCATAAATACATTTATATATGTATAATTTTAAAGTAGGTTTATTGACCAATCCGATCCCAACTTGGGCCTGAGCCAATTCCGAGTGAATCAAATTATAAGACGGGCTGGGCTCGAATTGGAAAAATCGGGCTTAACCTCGGGCTCAGGCCTTAAGCGCAAATTTTAAGACCAAGCCGGATTGATAATAAACCCGACCCAACCCGCCCGACTTGCACCCCTAGTGAAAACCTACCTGATTGGTTCCTACTTTTATGATGCCAATTAATTTTGGTTGTAAGTTTTTCTGACATCATAGTCAAACCTAAAATATATATTCTTTTAGTATCATGTCTTTCGGCATTTTTTTCAAGCATCTATGTTGTTGGGTGGGAAATTTTGTAACCCGACCCGACCCGACCCATTATGAGTACGAAGCATACATCATGAATTTCCCTCTCATTTGATGAGATTATTAGGGCGGTGTTTGGCATATCTTTCAATTTGCGGAAAGCTCAAAAGACTGAAAAATGGTATTTTTTTCCATTTGGTATTATAAAGATCGAAATATCAAAGATGAATGTACAGAAAGACCAAAGGAAAGGCAAAAATCAGGAAACTTGAAATGAAACTTTTGATTTTTCCATGCTGAAAATAGCCTTCCCAACTTCTTTTAACAGCTCGATAAACTAGTCTTTGATCTATCCCCAAAAATTCAGTACGTCTTCTCATTTATTGAGTTGTTGAAAGATCTATCTGAAAATACTTGCCAAACAGCCTTATAAAAAGGGACACCACTATTATATCACTAAATCAGTCTAATTGGAAGTAAGGTATAATCTCAGTCCTTTGCATATGAGCCACGTGTACAGTACAAGTAAAGGAGACTACTGTTTGGGTTCACACATCCATCCAGTTGTCAGCTTCCTGCCCGAAAGGGCCCCAGATCTGCGTCCATCAACCATTGATGAAGCGGATCTCATGTCGGGAAGCATGATAAAACAACACATGCTTCAAATTCAACATTTTCCCATAAATAGGCATAAATATAAGACAATAAGAAAATGAAGAAAAAAATAAATGTAAATGAAATTAAAAAAAAAAAAAAGAGAAGGAAAGCAACTCATCACCTAAAGCCTAATAATGTCCCAGTTCAACCTAATAACCACCAACTTTCCCATCTTCATTCATCACCATAATATATTAAAATAAGAGATTTAAAAAAAAATAGAACCCTCTTTTATGATTGGTACTTTGACGGAGATGGGCATTGAAAGAAGCTCGTAGGTACATACATGGGCCGGGGCCCATATTTGAGATGAGTGAGGACCCACAAACCGCCTTAATGTTGGGTCCGCCCACTCCGTAATTCATTGGCTTGTAATGACTTATCAGGTTGTGGTCCCCACAGGGACGCTAGCGACATGCCCACGTGTCCGGCTAATTCATTGTTGAGGTCGTCCAACACGTCACGTCTATGGCCGTTCTTTGTTGCTGATCATGGACTGACGGTAAGTGGGTCGGTCCTTTTTCTTGGAGGCGTCTGGCAACTGGCAACAGCTAGCTGGATCCTCGCTGTGAATTCATTTGCCAAAAAAAAAGAAAGGGAACAAAAACTAAAAATAAAAATAGATAAATAAGGGGAAGCCCTTGTGTATAACGCGAGCTATCATATTAAGAAATAAAAATGCGCTGCAAAACGTTAAAAAGATGTGACTTTCTGATTTGATAGGAATAAATTAATTGATTGATTAATCTAACTAAGTTTTTAGAAGGAAAAAAAAAAAACTTGTTTTTTAATTAACTGGAGTAGCATTTCTGTTGTCGGTAGCACTCTCCCAACAGACATCTGCAACGTTGAAGCATGGGCCCATCTGTCGTGGTAGTTGGGGACCCACTAAACAAGTGTCGTACAACACATGTCAACATTATGTGTATGGCACATAATATAAAATATAGCTTATGCTCAGTTTTAATGGTCTAAACCGTAAGTTCAGAAAACAGAAAGGCAGAAAAGGAGGAGCAGGCAGGCGTTGCACTATTGTATTTTTAATATATTTTTTGTGCTTTAAAAGATGGAGTGTCTATGTCTGTGTCTTCTGGATCTCCATCGACGTGGTATCATGAACCATCCGTCGCCAATGCAGCTTAAAAGTTTAAATAATGATTTGATAGAAAAAAAGATTCCTATCGAGAATGAAGATTCCCATCTGAGGGTCTAGGAGGCCCTGGTTGTCCTTCTACTTTTAGGGCAGTTTCAGACTTTCAGTAGTTGTTTCCCAACTTCCCATCCATTACCGAAAAAGAAGGTTATAGTGGCTTTCATCCTTTGATTAGCAATTTTGTAGATGGACGGAATTTATGAATTTTTTCTTATTATTTAGTGTGAGTTGAGTTGTACTGAATAAGTGAATATCTTTGTTTATCAATCCGGTGAGTGAAAAAGTTTGCAGAAATTCTACTCAAACCCTTGAAGTACAGTGTCTGCCGCCCGTCCACCTTAAAAGGAATAAGGAACTAAGGATAACGCCACCCAAGAAAAGTGATTTATCCACCGTATGATAAAACAAAACAAAATCAAATTTCACATGTGAGGCCACGAGAAACTTGAAAACCTGGTCATATAACTAGTCAAATCAAACAATAGCCACATCAATTATCAGCCCCCCTTCATCCCTCTCTATCTCTATAGATAATTAATTTTATTAGTTATATGGGAATTTGTAATATCTACTTAGGGAAAATTGACTTCAATAAGCATCATCGGTCATCGACCGTCCATTTTAGGTTAGAATCGAGATTTTCTAAGAACCCAAAAGGACCATCTCCTCACTGACCTTTTTTTTCGACAATCAATACCAATCCATGATTAAGCTATTTACTTGATTCGTTGTGATTAACGGTTCTAATTTCTTTTTGGCACATAACGTTACAAGGAGTCAGTGAGGCCCAGAGTCGGCGGGACCCACGCGCAATTGTGGGACCCAGGTCGCTCACAAGTCACAACAATAATACAACCAATCCAATCCAATCCATCACCACAATAGTAGTGAGAGTAATGGGATTGAACAATGAACATTGAAGCAGAAGCAAAGTTTTCACCAATTATAGGAGACATCAAATTACAGAAAAACCCCCGGAATTCGAAACTAATTCCGCTCGGAAGACATGTGATCCAAGATTTGGTCTCATCATTCGAGGGCGCCACCTTGAAATTCATAAAAGCGGGTGGGAAAAAGTTATCGAAAATTTCATGTTTTTTTACAACTCTCATTGGGCGCCACGTGGTATAACCCCCCATCACCTGAAACCCACCTGCAAATTGTTTAATTTGCGCGTGAAAACAAGCTGGCAGTTACAAGATATTCTTTTTCCTTAAAAGCATCTCCTCCTCAGTCCAGTCCTCGCTGCGTATTTTAATGACAACACAAAATAGAGGATAAACAGTAGAATATGACGATGACGTGGCTAGATGGCAGCACGTGTCAAGCAATGCGAGGATAAGAAGAATATCCCTACTTTAGCGCCCTTAGATGGACGGAGAGTAAACTTGACAGAAGAGTAACGTCGAGAGATTCCGTCAGTTGCTTAAAAAGAAGAGTAAAGAGAGATGAAGGAAAAGATTATTGAGGAAATCGCCGGTAATAGATAGAATATTAGAATCCTTCAACGCCTGTTTGTTTTAGCTTTTGACAAGAATAAAGAAACCCAAATACCAGTAGCTTTTTTTTAAGGATTAATTAATTCGTTGATTAAAATATTAAAAGATGGCTTTTTGGAATTAAAATTCTGCACGCTTCTAAACTGAAACCTCGGTGAATTTGTCGAGCCGATAAATGAAAATGGTAGTAAAAAGTTAAAGAAAATGAAAAAAAAAAAAAAAAACCAAAGAGGAAAGAAAAGAGAAGGGAATGAGATGTGTTTGGTTGGGTGGCGTGGAGTTTGTTAGTGTTGAGCCGCATCCACTCTTATCGGAGAGTACAGTGGAAAGGAGAGTAACGAAGAGCAGATACCAGACCGCATACCCAGTACCCTCTCTCTCTCTCTCTCTCAGTAATCTATCCCTTCTTCCCATAAACAATCACTTCTCTCTATCTATCTTTTTTGGTTTTTACATCTGTTGTTGTTGTGGGGGTGATTTAGATATATAAAGTTGGGAAAAAGAAAAAAGAAAAGATATGTTGGATTTTGGCTGTTCATCATTTCCTCTTCCTGAAATTTACGGATTACCCTGTAATCTCTGTCGAGATCGTATGGGGAAAGAGAGTATCGGTTGAGACTGTACAGGGCGTGAAACTGAACCATTGTGCGTTTGGTTTGCTTGGGTCCTCTGGTTATCGAATTGGGTTTTCTTTTTGGATGGGGAGTTCGCTTGCTTAGTTCAGAGAGAAGAGAAGAATCGACGGGTTGGGTCTGATTTTTCACGGGCAAGGCGGTCTCAGGAAATGAACATGGATAGCGGAGGAGGATCGGTTTCTTTGGCGAATTCGATCCTGACCAAGAAGGCGGCTGATGCGATTTCCGATCAGTTCCCGGCTGGTCTTCGGGTTCTGGTTGTTGATGATGACCCGACGTGTCTCAGAATCCTGGATAAGATGCTTCGGAACTGTCTATACGAAGGTATTCCTATATTGAGTTCAATCCATCTTTTGCTTTCTTTTGGTGAAGGAACAGATGGTAAAGAAAAGGAAACTTTTTCTATTTTTCACTTGGAGTTCTCTTCAATCCGAACTGTGCAAACTCTTTTTAATTATTTTAGCTAATTCTTTTACAGCACTAGTAGTCTGTACACATATCTGTTAACGATTATATATGTTTTCAGCCTCTGTTATTATTGATTAATACTTTTATGAGAGTGTTAATGGGTTTGGGAATCTGAATTTGAAAAAAAAAGGAAAAAGAGAAAGGATAAGAAGATATTAGGATTTGGCTACAGTATCATATCATAAGATACCAGTAGATGTCAGGTGATTGAAATTTTAAGCAGGAGACCCGTTTGGGATAACATCTCCCATTTGAATAGTAAGCTAGACGATAACGCGATTCTTATTGGTAATCTAGTTGATTATGATTTATGTCGTTTAGAGTTTGGAGAATATCCAAATCCATGGTTATTTGGCTGATTGATTCGGTGGCTTCGGTTATTTACAGTTACCATCTGTGACCGAGCAGAGGTTGCATTATCTTTGCTTCGAGAGAGCAAATCTGGGTTTGATATCGTTATCAGTGATGTCCACATGCCTGACATGGACGGGTTTAAGCTCCTCGAGCACATTGGGCTGGAGATGGACCTTCCTGTTATCAGTAAGTATTGGTGCTTGATGATTTCAGATGACTTTTTTTATATGGGCAATTTTGGATGACATTTATCCATATTGAATAAAACTTGACCATCTCAATGCATTTTATCCACATTATCTCTGACCTCTATTGTATTATCCAGTGATGTCTGCTGATGATGGAAAAGACGTTGTCATGAAGGGTGTTACACATGGGGCATGCGATTACCTTATTAAACCCGTTCGGATTGAGGCACTCAAGAACATTTGGCAGCATGTGGTTCGAAAGAGAAGGAATGACTTGAAGGAATTGGAGCAATCAGGGAGTATGGAAGATAGTGACAGACATCGGAAGCCATCTGAAGATGGGGATTATGCATCCTCAGTGAATGATGGTAATTGGAGAAACTCAAAGAGAAGGAAAGATGAGGAAGAAGAAGGGGAGGAGAGGGATGACACATCCACATTGAAGAAACCACGGGTGGTCTGGTCAGTCGAGCTCCATCAGCAGTTTGTTGCAGCTGTCAACCAATTAGGCATTGACAGTATGGATCCCATACCCGTTCCTTGCACTCTGTTGATTTTCTTTTTAAGCCCTCCATCTCCTTGCTAGAATCCATATTCATGGATCCCTTTCTGCAGAAAGAGAAAACCTTTAAGATGCTTAGGTTATCATTGGTTTGTTTTGTTTTAACTTTGCATTATTCAGGCAATTATGTGTGTCACTGTGTCTTACATTTTTTGAGCTGCACAGAATGTTCTTTGTTTTAGTCACAAGTGATAATGTAATCTTTGTTTCTAACTATATTAGAATCTATCTATGGTTTGGATGCATTGGCAAAATGTACATAGGTCAGATCCTATTTGAGATTAGCATGTTTAGTCTGAGCTTGGAGAGAATAGGGTGAAGACAAGTACTTGCTAAATGGTAATGCTTTTTAGGTTCCATGTATCTTATTAGATGATGTGAAATTGCAAAAGCCAATGTAGGACCATTAATAATTTTTAAGATGAATTTATCTTTAGGCTCAGTTTGTAAGGAGTACAAATACAAATATTTACAGTGCAAATGCTAATGCATTTTAGGTTCCATGTATCTTATTAGATGATGTGAAATTGCAAAAGCCAATGTAGGACCATTAATAATTTTTAAGATGAATTTATCTTTAGGCTCAGTTTGTAAGGAGTACAAATACAAATATTTACAGTGCAAATGCTAATGCTTTTTAGGTTCCATGTATCTTATTAGATGATGTGAAATTGCAAAAGCCAATGTAGGACCATTAATAATTTTTAAGATGAATTTATCTTTAGGCTCAGTTTGTAAGGAGTACAAATACAAATATTTACAGTGCAAATACATACAAAATAATACAAAATCCGAGGATTTGCATTGTACATATTTGCATTTGTACTCCTTCCAAACCGAGCCTTACTTTCTCTTCTTCTAAAATATTTGTGTCCTAAAATTTTAAAAGCATCTTAAGCCTTCATTATCTCCCTTCAAAAAGTTTTTGTGCTTAGTTGAAGATTCTGTAACATGCAGACTCCCCCCGCACACACAACCACAAATTTACAAATTTGTACTGGTTTTATTCATCCTTTTGGACTTTAAATGTTATGCAGAGGCTGTTCCTAAGAAAATTCTTGAGCTGATGAATGTCCCTGGACTCACTAGGGAAAATGTTGCCAGCCACCTTCAGGTATGGCTGCAATTCTGCTTGGTGGAAAAATTCATGTATTACTCTCTTTGCTATGACTAAGCAGTTCTGTATGAATACTCATTTTCATGTTCATATGGTATAGAAATACCGCTTGTATCTTAGAAGGCTGAGTGGAGTATCACAGCATCAGAATGGACTGAACACACCTTTCATGGGTCCACAAGAAGCAAGCTTTGGACCAATGTCTACTCTTGATGGGCTTGACCTACAAGCTCTTGCCGTATCAGGTCAACTAGCACCTCAGAGCTTAGCCACGCTACAGGCAGGGGGACTTGGAAGGTCAACTGCAAACGCCAGCATAAGCATGCCTCTTGTTGATCAGAGAAACATTTTTACCTCTGACGCATCAAAATTGAGAGTTGGAGCTGGGCAACAATCAGTGAACAGTAGTAGCAAACAGGTGAACTTAATCCATGGACTCCCTACCAACATGGAGCCAAAACAGTTGTCCCATCTGCACCAATCTGTCCAGTCATTTGGTACCATGGGTTTGCAAGTCAGTGAGGGAGTTTCGAGTTTTCTAAACATACCAGCAACATCACTAAGAACAAGCTCATCCCATGTAGATAGTGTCCTTGGTAGCCAGAATAGTTCTTTAATGATTCAGATGGCCCAACCCCAGTCAAGGGGCCACTTATTGAATGACATCACAGGAAGCCATTCTTCTGGGCTTCAATCATCCATGGTACAGCAAATATTCTCAAATGAGATAGCAGGTCAGGTGTTGGGAAGAAATGGAGTTATTCTAAATGGTAAAGGTGCAGCTTACAATCTGGTTTCCCAAGCCTCCCCAATGGCTGATTTTCCTTTGAACCACATTGCAGAATTGCCTGGAAATGGTTTGCCTATTGGAAATACTCTCACATCTTCTTCTACTCTGACATCCACAGGGATGTTTCAAGGAGGAAATGTGGACACAAAAGGACCAAGAGGCTTTGCTCCTGTTTGTGACATATTTAGTGAGATTTGCCAGAGCAAACCCCAAGACTGGGAATTACAAAATGTGGGTCTTACATTTGAAGCATCTCAACCTATCACCTCTGTACAGGGGAATGTGGACCTTACACAAGCAGTTTTGGGCAATCAAGGCTTTGCTTCTAGTCAAAAGAACTTACTGAATAGGAACGCATCTGTTGTTGGCAAGGCAGTGGTCCCCCAGCGACAAGAAAATGAACATGGAAAGATAGAAGCCAGTGTTCAGCGCCCTATCAACCCCCTTCTTAACAATTCCTTTAGGGTAAAGCCTGAAACAATATCTGATTTTAGCTGTGACAATTTGCTCATTCCGCAACGCTACGGTCAGGATGATCTTATGAGTGCACTTTTCAAGCAGGTAAGTTTATTTGTGATTCATATTGTTGCGATTTTCAGACGTTCAAAACTTACAACAGTCTACATGCCAACTCTTCTTACATGTGTGTTTATTTTCTAGCAGCAAGAAGGCACCGGATCCCTTGAAAGTGAGTGCAATTTTGATGGATATACCATGGATAATATTCCAGTATAGGCGGTGGCACAATTATCTCCATGTTGGCAGTATATTTAATCTGCATAGTTCTTTAAACATATAAAAAATTCTATCTATTTTTCAGTTGGGAGGAGGATGTTTGAAGTTTATATCCCACTCCAGGAGCTCAGGTTGCTCAATTTCCCATAGGCCATGTCTTGCTGTTACAGATAAGCTATTTGCTGGTAAAATCGAATTTAAAGAAAGCAAAGGCTGTGCATAAGGCGTTAATTAAAAGCTTGTTGGGTGCAGATTCAATAACCTGGGTCTCAAGTAGAAATATTGTAAGATACAGTTGCATGATATGCAAAGGTGTACATGCAAAGTTTTGACTGCTTTTAGTAGCATAGGCTGACGAGAAACATCTGGTTCTAGAGAGAGGGCTATGAAGATGTGAGGGCACGGATGATGGACTATTTGGAAGTTCGATGCAGAGAAGACATCATTCAAGGAAGGAGGTAGTTTAACTGTAATGCAACATCCAGTCTGCTCTCTAGGAAGTAGGAACTGACTTTTTTTTTTTGTACAAATTTCATTTGATTGTTCAAGACATAAATGTGGATCTTCTTTGTTTGGCCATTATTCTGTGTTAGCCTCTTATCTCTAATTATAGATGTTGTGACTACTAATCTCTCAAGTCGCAATCCCTTTTTTTCTGCGAATTTCCCTTTTGTTGTTGTTACATTGACTTAATCGTGAATCGTCCTTTCACTCATTCAACGAGTTATCATGGACTGCCGTGGGCAGACTCTTCGTGATGTTCTGGAAATGCAGCCAGACTGCTCGGTTGAAACAGAAAAGCTGGGAAACAGTCAACTTCACCGGCTTGCTGTTTTAGAGCAGTACTTCTGTTAGTTAAACAGGGAAAACTGGACCAAACAGTTTCTTGTTAAATTGCTTCAGAGAATTGGTTTTCTATATCCGTTATTAATGCACTGTTGTTGAACTTTTATTCTAAATTGACTCTTGGATCTGAAATCTTCATGAATGGTATACTGACTTGCAGAGGTGCCTAAACCTGAGAATACTTCTGTAGTGGTTGAGAATTAAGGTACTTTGGGGAGAAAAGAAATCTCCGGGATTTTTCTTTTCCTCTTTTTGAGGATGGCTTTTATTAGTTTATTATAAAAGGGTATAGTGATATAAATGACGGTGGACAAACAATTTAACGACCCTTTCCATCATGGCATGTGTAATTCCACCATTTTTGGCATTCAAACTAATGCTGTTATTGGACCGGGTGGTTCGAATTAGGGTAGACCTGGTCCTACATTGACACATCTGGAGTTATAATAATAATATATTTACCATGAGAAAAATAGGCACTAGACTAGGTGTATATTTTCGAAGGATAGATTAGGAGTGTATGATCATATGTAGTAATAGTAGGTTCCGGTCTTAATTGACTCAGAACAATTAAGGCCCCGTTTGATTCATAAGAATAGGGGTTTGGACTCGGTGACTCCAGCTGTTTGGAGGTGTATATTCTCCCATTTGAGGGAATAGCCATTTTCTGTTTTTTCCTTGGGAATGAAATCTCATTCGGAAGAATTGAAGATTCATTCTGATTCTAATTCCGAAAGATTTTAATTCCAATTCTAATTGTAAACCAAACAGACCCTAAAAATAGTTCCGATCCAATTAGTCGTTGGTTCCATTCTATCTGGTTACAAAGTCAATGAACAACTGTCCGCATCTAACTCATTCAATGCTTCAAAGTTCTTTCATGTTTCTCGTAACACTACGTGCGGTATATTGAAGGCCCATTTGGGAGGGGTTTGCATTGGAGGTGAAATGCATTGATTCAGTCATGGTGGTTGAACACCCATGTTTTAGCTTCTTATTCTAATAAAAATTGATGCATTTGGAACAGTAATCGACTTTCTAGATTTTCACCAAATAGTGTTCTGGTATGATGTCAGAAGCCACGTAACGAAAGCCCTCTTAAACAAATTGGGATCTGTTCCTCACGGAGTGTGCCTCACAGGCACAGCCACATCCCACCCTATACTGGGAACATCTTCCCATAAATAATAAATAGAGAAGTACAGGAGATATTCTTGATGTGCGAAGAGGAGCAGATCCGGACTCTAAATGCGCATTGAAATGCTCTCTGATAAAAAGAACTTGAGACACAAACGAAAAAAGAAACAGTTTTAAGACCCATTCCACACCTTTTTTTTAATTGACGAAAGCTGTGGCCAGATTTGATTCCGAAGGCAAGTAACTGTTCTCAGCGAAACTGCATGAAGCTGAGAGCCCGAGACCAGGTCATCTTCTCATTTGGGAGGTGATCCAGATTCCAGTCAACTAACGTACATTAACAGATCTAGATAAGATCATCAGAAGTTAACATCTGTTTTTTATGTAAATAAATTTTCTATTAAAACATGACATGATTATACATGTAAAAGGAAACGAAATACATCACATAAATGATTTGTGTTGAAAGTTGAAACTCGCAGTCCTCCCTCTGAATCTGAACGTTTCTGCAACCTTACAAAGGTAACTACCAGCTGCAACAAATTCTCAGATCTCCCTATACACACCTCTAATTGGTGGTTTCTTCCTCATTCTGCCAAACATGGATCCAGCTATGACCAATCAAATAACCAAAAGAATCAAAGAATCTGCATCGGCTACAAAACAATCCTTCGTCATGCACTGAAGCCACATCTATAGCTGCATCAACATGAGAGCTACAATAGATAGAAGGAAACTCAAAATGCTCTTAGATGCCACCATCTTATGACCGATGCTTGTTGGAAGAACTGTGGGGAGAGAACATTCCTCCCCGTTAAAGAAGACTTTGGTAGGGAAACCATCTCCACCTGCCACATTGATACCAGGGGTGTTCATTTTAGTAAATGAGATAATTGACTGCAGTTTCCCCGGTACTCTGGGATCAGTCCTTGGGTTAGCTCCCTCTTTTTCTGCTACAAGATAGTTAAATCCTGGAAAACCCTGCATAAATATGGTGTTGTTAACGCCATCCACCACCACCATACTTGCATTGAAGGAATACATTGCTTCAAAACCAGGAGCTGCCTTCCCAAACTGTACTGCGGCAAACCAATCAGCAAAATTGGTCTGATCCCAATTGAAGAGTGTTATTCTTGCACTCCAACCATTTCTGTAGTCTGTATATAGGTGCCAATTGATGCTCACTCCACAGTTATCCCCACAGGGTAATGGATTTGGCACAGTTAGGTGTTTCAAATTTGCCCAAGCCAAAGCCAGCTTTGTTCGATTCTCAAATGGGACAAGAAGAGCCTCAGATGGCAGGAGAAGTGCTGGTGCAGTAGCATTACATGTATTGCTAGGATTATTACTTTGGCAACAGGCACAGGTCGGGCAAGGGATCACAGAATCATTGTTGAATGCAGAGAATGAAACACAGCATCCTGAAGGTGAACGTTGTTCCTTTTCCTTGGGCTGTATAATGTTGCAGACCACCTGCCAGCTAGCGATCGCTGATGAACTTGATGGCAACCCACTTGGGTCTGGAAATAGGCTAGGACTGACACGAATGGGAGGCTCGCACTGATAATCTGGGTTGAGCGTGCCACTTATATTCCAGTATTGTGGTGGGACGAGTTTAGTCCGGTTGAGATATGGTGGCATTTTATAGACGTGAATCTGGAAAACAGAAACTGACTTGCTTGGATCCATGGATGCAGGCAAGATTGTTCCATTCCGGCAACAGAAAGGGATCAATCCCACCTTTGAATCATTGGCCTTTGTGGGAGGAAGGTCAATGATGGTCGGTGTTTTCTCACAATTCAAGACAGTGGAGAAATCTAGACCCTTGTAGAACACCCCTTGTCGACCATAAATGCAGTCTGTTGTATCAACAACAGATGGATAAGCACCCTTCATGGCTGCAATGAATTCGTCTCCCGTCCACTGCCACTTCAGCTTCCAATTATCAAGACGACCAAGAGGGTTGTTATTTGTGATTGTGACCTGAGCCCAATAATCTGTGTCATATGCACTAACCACATCATAGGTAATTGTGAGATCACCACTTCTTCGGGGCAAGAACTCTTCTTTGGTGACGTTTGATACAAAGTTTGGGTCTTTATTGCAACACGCATACATCTTACGTTTCCCTGCAAGAACATTGCATATACGCATATTACTATATCAATAAGAGACAAGAACCACGTAAGGCGTTGGTATTAGAATTTCTGTTCCCTTAGTCTTCTTTGGTGACGTTTGATACAAAGTTTGGGTCTTAATTGCAACACACATACATCTTATCCTGCAAGAACATTGCATATATGCATATTACTATATCAATAAGAAACAAGAACCACATAAGGCGTTGGTATTAGAATTTCTGTTCCCTTGGTCTTCTTTGGTGACGTTTGATACAAAGTTTGGGTCTTTACTGCAACACACATACATCTTATTTATCCCTGCAAGAACATTGCATAAACGCATACTACTACATCAATAAGAAACAAGAACCACATTAGGCGTTGGTATTAGAATTTCTGTTCCCTTGGTCCTCAGAAATGCCTAAACTTACATCGAAAAATAAGTGCCCAAACAACCCCAACATTTCTCCTTCTAAATCCCCTCCTCAGTATTATCATCATCAACAACAATAATAACAATCTCTCTTTTACTTACTTGCACCCCATATATCCCTTTTAACAAAGGACATATAGTTATATTTTCTTTGATTCTTCTTTCTTTAACCACAAGAACCTTTACCTATTTCACTTCATTTCGTCACTCTTTAATATTTACAAATACCAAGACTTGGAGAATCAAACCATTCAAGGTCTAAAAACAATGAGATTATTAATCAGAAATAGACTTGTCTGCAAATCAATATAAATATCCAAGAATGGACGAAAATACAGTTCCTTTCATCACATATTTTCAACTTATATGAAATCTACTTCCTCCCTATTCAGTATTTTAATTTTTCTTTTCATCTTTTTGGTCCACTTAAATCTGTAAAAGAAAAGACGAATTCACACAAAGATTGAATAGAAAACATCCAGTTTTCTCCAAAATTTAACCTCAGAAATTGCATAGAATGAATAGACCAAGCTAATGGGTGAAGATGGAAGGATTAGAATTCAAAGGCTCGAATCTATAACGCTCCCCTCCCCCCCCNCAATCGTAGCACCATTCTTCTGTAAGTCAAAATTATCTCTCCGTGGTCACCATAAACAGAACGAATTATACCATAATACCATCTTCAATTTTCTTCAGACTACTCTCAGTAGTCGATTCTGAACTAAAAAAAGAACCCTAAATCTGCACAGGTTATCCCTAAGAACACAATAGAAAACTGAGAAGGCACTCTGGTTCTCTGAAATTGGTCCTTTGTAAACCAAAATCCATACACACATCTATGCAGAAACAGAAAAAGGCAATTAAAATCACGAGAGAGAGAGAGATGCATATAGAATTACCTTGATTAGTGGGTTTAGGACAGGTGTAGCCTTCGTTGACAAGAGAAATGTTGGAGGGCATAGGAACGTCAATAGTGTTGGTAATATTAACGCCAAACTGGGTACCGACCAATTGAATCTGGACCTGCATCTGGGTTTCATCTCCGGCGGTCTCGACAGCCGTCTTGAGATCAGTGGTGGGAAATCCAGCAAAGGTAATTCCATTGCCGACGCGGGTGGGGAGAGTGGTGCCATTGGCCAAGACGGCATTGGAAGCAGAGACGAGGAGCTCGTTGTGTTGAAAACCAACGAAGATGTTCCAGGATTTGAGGTCCTCGAGACCATTGTTGAGGATGGTGAGGGTGGATTCGAACTTGTAAGGCTGATTAGAAGGGTCGGAGACAACCGGAGGAAGGCGAGATCCCTTGATGTATTCGTAGGACAAGAAAATACCGTTGCAAACATCGGAGACAGGTGCAGGGGCCGCCGTTTGGGCGATGGAGATTGGGAGAGAGATGGAGACAAAGGCGAAGAAGAAGAGGTAGTGATGGTGGTAGAAGGCCATGTTTGGCTCTTGGGGTTTCGAATTGAAGAAGAGAAAGCGATCTGAAAGATAGATTATATATGTATACCGGAAGAAGTATGAACACTTGATGAACAGACAGTCTGGGAAGGAAAGAACAGAGAAAGAAGAAACGCGAAACGTCAAACGCGTAATGAGAGAAATACAGTGTTATGGAGGCTGTATTTTTTATTTATTTCTTTCTTAAAAGTTAAAACAATTACAACAACCCAAAATTTTATTTTGTTTTCAGGTTTCAGCTGCGGGCTTTTTGAGTGTGAGTCGTTCTCTGCGTGAGAGAATGGTGAATGGGTCGTCTGTTTGAAAGTTTGAATAGGGAAAGGTACTGCGTGCTTCTTATTTAAATCTTGGACTGGTGGGACCCATTAAATTAGAAGAGTAGGATCAGATTTTATGTAGCCTACCGCCCTGTTTATGGACAGTAAGGATTAACTGAAATACAACTATACAAGCAAGGTTTAGCTGACCAGTAATTGCCGGTGATTCATAAGGTTTAGCCGAACGTAATGGCTGTTCAATAAAAATAATATTTTTTATAGGAAAATTGTCAAAAATTCATTATGAGTTTTTAGTATTTTTTTTAAATTTATCACAATTTTTCAAAATGTCTAAAACTTACCATGTTACTAATTAGATGTTAAAAGATTAATGACTGTTAAAATTACAGAAAAAATATAAAATTATATTATATATATATATATATATATATTAATATTTAGATATGAAAAAAAAGAAAAAGTTCAAATAATATTTTTTAAATATAAAATACATAAAAACACAGAAATTGTAAAAAGTACAAAAATTTATAGAAATTGCACACAAAAGAAAAAGTTATTTTCAAATTATAGAAACTATAGAAATTGAAAAACAAAATTGTACAAAAAACACCAAAAATTATAGAAAAACACAGAAATTACAAATAAATAACAAAAAATACAGAAAATTTTATAAGTTGTAGAAAATAGAAAAATGTTATTTATGTGGACATCTCTGTTAAGAAACATTAATGATGCAAGGAGTTTTGGAAAATAAAATCTTACATGGTGAGTTTTAGACGTTTTTAAAAATTGTGATGAGTTTAAGAGAAATGCTGAAAACTCATTGTGAGTTTTAGACAATTTCTCCTTTTTATATAATAAGTAAAATGAGATACTTTTTTTTTTTTTAATTTCAAATAAGGGCATTGGATACTGTTTAATCGTCTTCCTCCTCTCTGTATTGCAACAAGCTGCCGGAAAAATGATTCTTTTCTGCGACCATTAAACTGAACCGGAAAAATGAGTGGGTAACTGAATGATTCTTTTTGCATATAACCATTTTAGCCATTAAAGAAAACGGTAACTCTTTCAGGTTCAGCCACTTCACTTCAGATTCAGTCCACCCCTTTTTCTAGCAGGTCCGGACTATGGTAATATCAAGACAAATTAGGTAGAAGGCTACAACCCCATCAACTGTCAAGAAGAAAAATAAATAAATAAATAAGAAAGCAAAACTTGTCAGCGTCTCTGGTAAATCTTAGCTTGAAGGACATTAGATAAGAAAGCAAAACTTGTCATCTCCGGTAAGACTGATCAGCATCTCCGGTAACATCAGGAGAGATTCGTTTGTTTAATTTTGGAGGTCACAGACTCATAGAGGACGAGGCTCAGTGACTCGTTGAACTTACGTTTTGAAGAGAAGAAAGCAAAACTTGTCGATTGAAAAGTAGAGGAGCCCTCCTCGTGAGTGGGGCGGGGTTAGGCCGTGAGCTGTTTGAGGCGGCACCAAATAGCCGTATATTTAGTTCCACAGCGATCGCTGCCTCTGGAGGCATACGGTATAGTACTTCCTCATGTTTTTTCTTTCCATCTTCGACTTTTATGTTCTGCAGCAATTTTCTCCAAGAGAGAGAAGTCGGTAGCTGAATTCTAGAAGTTGGTTTTTATGAACTTTCTGTCTTCGATTTTCAGTCTGTTTGCAAAAGCTCGTTTCTGGTGAAAGTTACGTTCGAATGAGGAAGACGAGTAATAGTATCCAATGCCCTTATTTGAATTTTTTTGAAAAAGCTATATATGAAAAATATTATTTTTATTGATATTAAGGGCAAAAAGTTTCCGTAAAATAATTGGGAGTTTCATTTTTTTTTATGGTGGGGATTATGAATTTATTACTGGCGTTTGGTTTCAATTCTGGTGCTGAATAAACATGGCATTCATAAAATGCATGGTATTTAATTTTTTAGGGTAAATTTCTGAAACCTCCTTTAAAACTTTTGGTGATTGGTTGGTGAAGCCTCTGAAATTTGGTAATTGCAATCATCTCCCCTAAATTTTTTATACAGTTCAAAGTATCCATTCACCTCCCTTAGTTAAAATTCTAATACGAGTCTTGAAATGTCTAAAATATTCATGCAGTTACTTTTGACTAAAAGGTTTATTTTCCAAATTCTTCATATCAATCATTATCCCAAGCATCTTTAATCTCTTTTCCAAAATTGATTTATTTTTCAAATTTACCTTTCATAACAATCACTCAAAGGCAAAACTAAAACTTTAAACTCTTTTTTTTTTTCTGTTGTTCATAAAATTTAAACTTTTTTGTAAAAATCAGACACAATATTAACTGTATGGATATTTTGAATATTTTCATATCTCTTATTAGAGAATTTTAATAAAGGAGGTCTCTACATAAAGTTCAGAAGAGGTTTTAACAAATGTGAGAATTTCAGGGGATGTTTCAGAAGTTTACCCCATGGGATTCAGATTCAGTATTCACGTATTTTTTCAGTGGTGTGGGGCAGCCCGCTGAAGAGCAACGATGCTTAACAAATCCAAATTTAATTTCCGTCAGTCCCCATGGACCCTACCCTATAGACCCGTTTGACCACTTGTAAATATAATTCATCTTTCTTCCACCTTTGGACTTAAATGTATATTTCTAAAAGTTTAGGTACTCAAATGGGACATTTGAAAATTCAGGTCCTAAAATGAAATTATCCCTAAAATACAAGGCACCTATTTGTAAGGGTGAGCATTGTTTGGTTAAAATCGAAAAACTGAATCGAAATGTTTGGTTTTGGTTTATTTGGTTTAGTTTTCGGTTTTTCAGTTTGGTTAATTTGATTTTAAAAATTTTCAATTTCGATTTTGGTTTTCAGGATTAGAAATTTGGTTAATTGAAAAAATCGAATTAACCGAAATTTATTATATACATAATATAATATATATTATTAATATGTAAAACATAATATATTATAATATGTATATAATATACATTAACATATGCATATATTATAATATACATAAATATATTAATATATATAATATATAATATGTATTAGTATAATATTAATAAAATACGATTTTAACCGAAAACCAAACCAAAAATTTCAGTTTCAGTTTTTTTTTAATTATTCAGTTTTATATTTTATAAGTTCGGTTTCAAAAATTTGGTTTATTCGATTCGGTTTTTAACTGAATAAACCAAATGCTCACCCTTACCTATTTGCAATTTACCCTAAATAAATAAAGGTAAATTGTAGACTATCAACCCTGTATTTTAGGAATAGTGGCATTTAGCCCCCTAAACTTTTATTTGCAACCAAGGCTTTTTTTTTTCTTTTTTTTTATATTAGCACCTAGCAAACCCAAATCCTAAATACATCCTTAAACCACTAAGCTATCTTGTTTTTTTTTTTTTACAATTAAGGATTAAAATATAAATATGTCTGATACCCACAGTTGGGTATCAATGCATATCAATAATATGACCTATACTCATATATATATTTTTTATTTTATAAGCTTTAGAAGCATGAGATCTGTGAGTGGTGTGGTAAAGCTAAGTGTGGTGGTCTCCTTGAAGGATGAAGGAAGGATGGGAGCAAGGGTAGGTTATTAGCTTCTATTGACAGAGTCGTGTCTTCATTATGATTTACGCCTCCTTTTATAAGAAGAGATCCTGATGCCCTAAAGGAAAGGAGCCAAAAGGATTTGATTCCTATTTGGAAACGAAATCTTTAATTCGGTGTCGGTTGCCAAGGGGACATTGTTAGGGTTCGCCACGTGTCTTATGAGATCTCTCCAAGACGAGATTTCCTTTCGTCTAAGGATTCTCATAATACGTGTGTGTTACATCGTTGTATTTTCGTTCATCGCCAATCCATGGGGGCTTTGAGCTCGTCGCAAGTTCGCGATAGCTTTGAGCTCATCGCAAGTTCATGGTGTCCTTGAGCTCATCGTAGGTTTGTTGTGGCATTGAGCTCATCGCAAGTCTATGGTAGCTTTGAGCTCATCACATATTTGTAGTAACTTTGAGCTCATCGTAGGTTCGTGCCGAGTCGTGAACTCGTCGCAGGTGTTTCTATATCTATGGTTTGATACCTTCATTGCCATCGCAATCATGGTGAACAACATGTACTTACAACATCTATAATCCCATGCTTCCAAATGTTTTAAAATATTGATGTATATATCCATGCATATTTGGGTGTAATGATATACATATAATATGCCCAATATCGATATTTTAATCTTTATTTGCAAGATAGACTAATCATGAATTTTCAGATTTCGGCACTCTTCCCACATTATGTTAGCATTAGTATTTTTCATCATCACCACTAGCATTAGCTTTAGAAAACATTTCAAATAAAAAAAAAATGTAAGAAATTTAAAAGTACCCAAGAAAAAGAGGAAAGTATAACAATGCAGAAAATACAAGAAAGAAAAATAAGAAAATACAGAAAAAATTGTGATTTATATAAGAAAACTAAAAGTACAAAAATTTGAGGAAATACATAAAAATACAAAAATTGCAAAAATAGAAAATATAGAAAGAAGAAAACCACAAAAAATCCCAAAAGAAAAACTGAAAAATACAGAAAACCTCATACAACAACCAAAATAGAATTCATTGATTAGATAAAAATAATAGGAAATTCTAAGTAAACCAAAAGGTAATTGCTAAACAAGTTCTCTCACTACAACCAATACTAAGGTTACAGATATTTTACTTTTACCAACAGGCTTGTTAATCATGCAAGAGGAAAAGTATTGAAATCGATCTGAAAGTTGGAGGAGGATCTTGTTAATCATGCAAGAGCACCAGGTTTTGTCAAAGACAAATGAGCTTCATGGTGTTCTAACTTCTTCCATTCAAATCAT